AGATATGCATATATCTGATGCATATATCCAGCATTCAACAGGAAAAATAAATTTAAGTTTGAAATACAGGAGTACTAAATTATTATGGAAGCTTATGGACTATGGAAGCTTAAAAAACTTGGAATCTTGGTAGGCGAACTTCTTATAAAGCTCTCATTATCATCTCAACTTGACTCTGGGTGGCTTGACAAACTTCATTTCAAGCTTGTGTTTCTATGGCCTGGTACTACCTCTAAAGCAACTATTTCCAAAACAGAAAAATGACCTATTTTGAAGCCAGAAGTACTAAACCAGAAAACAACTTGAATTCATTCTACAGCTATTCATTGCCCATGCTATGCTTGCAGTACACAAAGCTATCTTAAAACAATTGATTTGGGACACAGAACAAGAAAAATAAATTGTATGAAAACAAAATATGGAATCTGTAGTCCACATTAGGTGGCTGTAACAGCCTCTAGGAACAGCAATAGCCAGTTCAACCTATCCAGTTCTCACAGCTACTAACAGCAGATCTCTCTGGGAAGAAAAAAAAAAGTAGAGAAGTAATGTACAATTACACTTTCCCAGAACACCATCTCAGTCTTCAGCAATGCACAGCTCAAGAAGTCTTGAGGCAGAGAATATTTCTGTATTTTACGGAGTTGCTGGACTTCTGTCTGTGACTTTCAAACTATGTGGGCCCTTAATATAAAAAAAATACCTACTGACAAAGTACTCCACAAACAACAAAACGTACAGAAGGTGTTTCATCTGCAGTATGCTTTCTGTATTTCACTTTCTACAGCTGAAATCTCACACACATACTGGAAGCAGCTTTCTATTTTCTCAAGTTTACCTTCAGAGCATACATGACTTAAAGACCTCCAGCATAGCCTCCTTCAGCCATCTCTTTTCTAGGCTAAAGACTCCCTGCAGAAAATCTATTCCATGCTTCTGACTGACCATCCTTACACTCTATTTCTGGAATCAGCAGATTACTTTTAGTTAGGGAAAGAAACACAAAAACCACAAGCAACAGTCAAGATATGAGTAAACCACAAATTAACACAATGGAGTATCAACGTTCTTGACTCTGGTGTAGTCCTCAAAGAAGCCTTCACAGATCTCCTTGCAAAAGTCAGCCTCGTACACAAACACAGTTGATTTCAAAGAGTTCTGAAAACCACAATCTTTTTTTTTTTTTTTTAATATGCTAGATTAACAATGGTTACATTAAAGCTGCCACCACATAACAAAAGTCTTTACTAGATGAAGAACCAAGACAGGACAAAGGAAAAAAAAAAAAAAAAAAAAAACAAAAATTTACAAACTGAGAAACAGAGGAGTTTTACACCTGTGCTGCTTATGGCACACCTGAAACTACAGACCTTGTCAGAGGTGCAGAACTAATGCATATGACCTTCCAAGTCAGCATCTTTCCTCTCATTAAAGAAAATGAAGTCATGCAGTTCCCTTGCCCTTACATCCCATTCTAATACCAGAGACTCAACACCAAGTGGCCTGGACAAAGTCATACATGCAGTTCTCCTGTTATTACTGAAGTGTACACACTGAAGTGAAATTTATGACCACAAGCACATTTGTGGTATAGCCATACCATGCTTCTACTTCAACAGCACCATGACACTTCAACACTCACAGCAGCAGAGAAAGCATTTCCTCTGCTCACACAACCAGAAGCCTCCTCACTTCAAAGCAATTACAGGCCACCAAATGTCATACTTTTGCGTACCAGGAGCAGACCATCTGAAATGGACTGACATATTACTACGAGGGAACCATGCAACTCTAATGCACAGTGATAAGAGCAAGAAGAAAGCATCAACACTGTGCCTGTGCTGGACTTACATCTGTAGCATAAGGTATCACTTTGTCATACAAGCAGTGCAAGGCAGAATTTGTTAAGCCGCCTACTTAACGTTTGTACAAGATTCTGCAGAGGTTTGTATCTGAATAAACCCAGAAGAGATTTCCACAGGGACACTGAAAGAACACTGTGAGCTTCCAGGTATCACCATCTTAAACACAAGGCATATTTACAACACTGTAAGCAAAAAGCCTGTCAGGACAATCATTTTCCTCTAAGTACTTTCACTTATTTTACTCATTTTATTTTCACTTATTTCTCATCATTTACTGAGATCAAATACTTCAAACAGCTAAATCTGAAATCAAACTCAAGCATTAAGAAAATCCCTAATGTTTAAGGATCAAATTATTCAACTTATTTCTGTTCCTTCATTCACAGCTGTTTGCAGACTTCCACACTTCCTCCCAACATTTTAGTTTTCAAATCAAAATTACCCTTTTCCCCCCCCCAAAAAAATTACAATTATTAACAACTTACTCAGCTCCTAAAGCCATTCAAATTACAGAAACTGTAATTGGACATAAATCACGTCAAAAAAAAAATAAATAAATAAAAATAAAAATAAAAAAAAATAAAAAACAGAACAATGAAACAAAACCTGATCCAGAAAAATAATCCACAGCATAAAGGTAGAAGGAGTGGTAACATAGGTCCACCTAAAGTAAGGCTATCTGCTAACAACTAAAACTCTTATTTTAACCAGACAAAGCCCAGCAGGAAATCCAAGGTCAACAAAGCTTAACCAAAACAACTACAGTCCAGCAATACTATATTTTGTAGGCAGAAATATCACAAGGGAACTGAGGAACTGGAATGCATTTTGTTTGCGAAACTCTTCTACAACATCTGCAATAATCAAAGTAGTTTCCCATCAGGCCTGAGAGCAGAACTGATCAACAGACTGAAGAACTTCTTGCAATATTCACTAGAAGATGTATATTGAACTCCTTTAACACCTTGAATTAACCTACAGTTAGCCTGTATTTTCTTAAATATGCTGTACCACCAAGAACAGAATCAAGAAAAACAAAACACAATTTCTTGCTTGAGTCAACAGTATAAGCTACTCCCAGGGGAAAAGTTAGTAACTTACACATCACAATTTTAAACAAGGGAAATGAAGTTAGAGTAAAATTTAAGTTCACAACTTAATGAATTATGACACAGGATACTATTTGAGAAAACTGAAGTATGTTCTAATGCTTTATATACCCGAACTACAGCAAGATTTTACAGCACAGTCAACGTTTCTTCAGAAACTTCTTGCAAGAACCTCCATTGTCATTTGATTACAGAACTAATATTGTCCCTGTATAAGATACTGAATTCCTTCAACATGTCCTATTAATCTCTAAATCTGAAGGAAAATCAAGATCTGAACATGTGTCTAATCTGTTTGGAGATATGAAGAGTTAAGTCATCAAGCAACTATAGACATATTTTACTGGACATGTATCAAAAACCTTAAAACTTACACTAAGATGTTATCTTCAAAACTCCACGTATATTAAAAATGTATCTGAAAATACATTTGCTTTTTGCATGGGGGACAGAGGAGATTAGGACCTCCATAAAGCAAAACCAAAGAACAAAACCAAATACCCCATTCAGCTTCATACTGAAGAAATATTCCCCTGCAAAAGACAACTACAGGAAAAGAAAAAAAAGTGAGTTGACCGCAGAACCAAGAAATGGTACAATCAGGAGCTGAGAAAGGACCACAGAAGTCCTTAATCTCCTCAATCAACTTTTTTTTTTCAGTTACATATGAAGTCACCAATTTTTCTGCTGCACAATTACTGTGCCTGTTCATAATAGCCTAGTGAGATTACAATAATTAGCATTTTACAGCACAATGTTCTGAACTGAATGCATTACTGTGGTAACTGTACACTTACATTTGCTGCAGAATTGTTTACATTGTTTAAAAATCAGGATGCTAGATAGAAAACAGCATCAGCAAAAGTTAAGGACTAGTAATTAAAGAGCCTGATTTTCTTCCCTTTTTTGTCACATTCGCCATAAAAACCTCAGATACCATATCAAGAATGGATTTTTTTGTTTGCTCAAGTTTTTCTTTTTAAGCAGAAACTAACCAAAGGTTTTTATCTCACATACAGTGGCTCTCATTCTGACCTAACTGCTGTTTTATCCCATCCGCTTACTTGAATATTGTTTCCTGCCTCAGGCCAAGGAAAAGCAGCTGCTCTTACACCCATCTGTACCTCTACTGAGGCAAAAGCCAACCACCAGCTGCCTAAGCCCGCTGGCACCGCTCCACTCGTTTCAAGGATCAGAAAGCAAACCATGCCTGCTTTCCACACTCCTGCATGGAGAAGGGCCTTGTGTGAGGCATGCACTGCAGTGCCAGGCAGACCCAGGGCAAGGCCTGAGCTGCTCCGCATCACCACCTTCACAGCGCAGGGTGACAGAAATACTCTGCATCACGCTGCAGCTGAGTTTATTCTTTGTGAAATGTGCTTAAGCTTAAGAACTGCTACTTTAGTAACTCCCAGGTAACTTCTGTTCCCGCTGTCGCTCACGTCTCAAAAAGAGCACAAGCAACTACAACCTACAGCTCAGCAACGCCCGAACAGACGCTGCTTTCTTCGAGTCACCTCTTTTCCCCTTACTCTTACACAAGAAAGCGTGACGATGCTTTCTGCATGAGGACGCGCTCGGCCCAGCGCAGCACCTCGGAGCCCGTCCCGCCCCGTTCGGCAGCAGCCGCTGGCGGCGGACCGGCAGCGGAGCAGGTGCGGGGTGCGTGCCGACACCGACCGCTCGCCCCGACGCCGCTTCCAGCCACGTTACGTCAGGCACATCCTACCTGCGCCGGGAAATGAATGAACCGCAGCGTCGGGACAAGCCCCGCGGGCAGCCTGTGCCGCGTGCTGGCCGCCGGGGACAACAGGGGGCCGCCAGCCCACCGCCAGCGCCCCGAGCTCCGGCCAACCTACGGAGCTCGGGGCCGGAGCGGGACCGCGGCTCCCGCTGCCCGGCACTTGCCCGGGGCTCCCCCCGGCCGTGCGCAGCGCGGCTCCCAGCCCAGCCCTCCCCGCCGCCAGCTCCAGCCCGGAGCCCTCCCGCCCCCGGAGCCACCGCCCGGCCCGGAGCCGCCCCACACCTGTCCGAGAGAAAAGGATTAGGCGGCTGCAGCGAAGAGAGGCAGCCGACTGCGCTGCGCGCCAGATATGCGTTCTCGCCCCTGCTGCCCAGACTGAAGGAACACTCCCGAGCTTCCACCCCTCGTTCTCCCCGGGACGACTTCTTCCGTGCGCTGATGACAGCTGCGCGCTGCGCATGCGCGTAGCCCTCGCACGCCCGAGGTAGGGAGGACCGGGAGAGGAGAGAAGCTCGGAGGCCCAGCGGGAGGAACACGTGACGGGGACGAGCGCTCACGTCACGTGCCCAGCGGCAGCCGATGCCGGCACCGCCCCCGGGCGGAGCAGCTGCGGGCGGGGAAGATGCGCTGCGCGCGGCGGGTCACGTGGCGCCGGCTGGCAGGCGGCCGGGGGGTTGGTGTGCCGTGGGGCGGCTGCTGCCCCGCGCCGGGCGACGCGCGGGTCTTGCAATGCGGCGCGGGCCGGGTTTGGCGGTATGCAGTCCTCGGTCAGCTCTAGTCGGCTTCTGTGTGCCAGTCCTGTACCGTCATGTCCCGTCTTGCCTTGTCCCAGTCTTTAACGTGACTTTTATCCCCGTATGGCAGAGGCTGAGCCCTACTATGCTGTCATGTATTTAGTTTTTACCAGTTATTGCTGTTTATCTTCCAGCTTAGCTTTCAGGCATTTATGTTAATGTAGCAAAAAGTGACCAGAAGATAACTAAAGGAGAAGTCCCTTCAGGCGTTGGGATTTGGGATTGTTCAGCTTGGAGAAGAGGTCTTCCAGTAGAGGGTCCTAGGAGAGGGACCGACTTTGTACAGAGGTAGTGATAGCACCAGGGAGGGTGGATTTAAACCGAAAGAGGGGAGGTTTTGGTTAGATGTTAGGGAGAAATTCTTCACTCAGAGGACCATGAGGTACTGTGCACATCCCGTCCCTGGAAGCGCTCAGGGCCAGGCTGGATGAGTTCCTTCATAGTTTGATCTAGTGGTTGGCAGCACTGCTCACAGCAGTGGGATTGGAACTGGATGAGCTTTGAGGTCCGTTGCAACCCAAGCCGTTCTGTGATGTGCTTCTTCAAATGTGCCCGTTATCATGAGAGAACTCTTCTTTTAGACCCAGATTTAGGCACTGACAGAACCTGAAAATGTAGCAGAACCTGAAAACGTTTTTCGAAAATGAGTGTATCTAATGCTATAACTTTGCTGTGCCAAGAGAATTTCATGCTGATTTGGTATCTGGTCTCAATACTATACCTCACAGACTGCAGTCCTATGTATGCAGTGTCTCCAATCCCAGCTGCAGCTGTATTTAAAGATTCTCTATGGCACCACTGCTTCCACTAATGTCTGAAATAAGCCATCCTCAGGAGTTTTATTTTGTATATTAGAAATGGGAGAAATAGAGCAAGTTTTGCCTTTTTTCTTAATCTTTTGCAGGAAGGGGGAAGAAAATGTTTGTGTAGTGGTTTCTCAAAGATAAAACAGCCCAACTGAATAGAGATTTTCTCGGTTCTTTCACTGACTCTGTGTTGATTTAAGATTGTTTTCAAGTAGGCTCTCTTTGGCTGAGGCTGAGTACAATGACTGTTGAAGCACTGGGTGAGCAGCACCTCTCTTCTTCCAGTCTTATGTCTGGCTAGAAGTGTGTCCTGTAGTGCTGATGAAGCATGTACCTCTGAATGCCACTGGTTCACAGAATCACAGAATCACAGAATCACCCGGGTTGGAAGGGACCTCAAGGATCATGTAGTTCCAACCCCCCTGCCTAGCAGGGCCACCAAACACACACATTCAGATCAGGTTGCCCAGGACCCCGTCCAACCTGGCCTTAAACACATCCAAGGACGGGGCATCCACAACCTCCCTGGGCAGCCCGTTCCAGGGCCTAACCACTCTCCTTGTATAGAACTTCCCCCTAACATCCAACCTAAATCTTCCCTCCTTCAACTTGGATCCATTTCCCCTAGTCCTGCTATTGTCAGCCCTTTTGAAGAGTTTACTCCCCTCGTGGGTGTAGGTTCCCTTCAGGTATTGATAGGCTGCAATGAGGTCACCCCGCAGCCTTCTCTTCTCCAGGCTGAACAAGCCCAACTCCCTCAGCCTGTCCTCATAGGGGAGGTGCTCCAGCCCCCTGATCATCTTAGTCGCCCTCCTCTGGACCCTTTCCAAAATCTCAATGTCTTTCTTGTACTGAGGGCTCCACACCTGGACACAGTACTCCAGATGGGGCCTCACAAGAGCCAAGTAGAGAGGGACAATCACCTCCCTGTCCCTGCTGACCACCCCTCTCCTGATGGAGCCCAGGATCCCATTTGCCTTTCGAGCTGCCAGAGCGCACTGCTGGCTCATGTTCAGTCTCTCGTCCATCAGGACCCCCAGGTCCTTCTCTGCCGAGCTGCTTTCAAGGACCACTCCTCCCAGCCTGTACGGGTGCCTGGGGTTCTTCCGGCCCAAATGCAAAACCTTGCACTTTGTCGTGTTGAACCTCATTAGGTTCACCCGAGCCCAGCCCTCCAGCCTGTCGAGGTCCCTCTGAATGGCATCTCTTCCTTCCACCGTATCAACCGCACCACTCAGCTTGGTGTCGTCAGCAAACTTGCTGAGGGTGCACTCAATTCCCTCATCGATGTCATTAATAAAGATGTTAAAGAGCACCGGTCCCAAGACAGACCCTTGGGGGACACCACTTGTTACCGGCCTCCACCTGGACATAGAGCCATTGACCACCACCCTCTGTCTGCGGCCTTTCTGGTTCAACTTGTAAGGATGGGCTGAGGAAGCATCAGGGCAGTTTGATTCTATTAACCCTCATCAGAGTGCTACAGTGTGGATGATTGTGCCTTGACATCATTTTTCAAAGACCACCTCACAGCATTTCTGTCTTGCTAGGTGGAAGTACAAAGACTGTTCTTCAGAATGGCTGTGAAGCTACACGTGGTCATTTGATCAGTATTTCACTTTTGCTGTGATGCAGTGCTTTCAGGACTCACTGATTGCCTTTCCTTTAATGGGTTTATCTCGGAGAACCTGTGGGATCAAGTGCACCCTCAACAGGTTTGCAGATGAGATTAACTTGAGTGGTGTAGTTGATATGACAGAATGAAGGGATGCCATCTAGAGGGACCCAGAGTAACTTGAAAGGTGGGTCCATGTGAACCTAGTGGCGTTCAACAAGGCCAAGTGCTAGGTGATGTGCTTGCATCAGGGAAATTTCAGAAATGTGGAGACTGGGAGAGGAAATCCTTGAGACCAGCCAGGCCAAGAAGAACTTGGTGGTCCTGGTAGATGATAAGCTGGACATGAAGCAGCAACGTGCACTTGCAGCCAGCAATGCCATTTGTATCCTGGGCTCTATCAAAAGATGGGTGGCCAACAGGGCAAGGAAGGTGATTGGCCCCACTCTGCTCTACCCTCATAACGATCACTGCATCCAGGCCTGGGGCCCCTAACACAGAAAAGATGTGGAGATGTTGGAACAGTTCTAGAGGAGGGCTGCTAAGATGGTCAGAGGGTTGGAGCATCTCTCCTATAAAGACAGGCTAATGGAGCTGGGCTTCTTCAGCTTGAGAAGACTCCTGGGAGATCTCTGAGGTGAGGGTGGTGAGATACTGGCACAGCTGCCCAGAGAAGCTATGGATGACTCCTCCCTGTAGGCATTGAAGTCCAGATTTGATGGGTTTCTGAACAACATGATCTAGTGCCTGATTTAGTAGTTGACAATCATGCCTGGAGCAGGGGATTGGAACTAGATGATCCAAAGGATCCTTAACAGTTCCTTCCAGCCTAAGCCATTCTGTGGTTTGTTGACGTTCTACTGGCATAAGTTGTTTGTTTTCCTAACTGAGATCTCAGCAAGTTTTTATGCACTTTCCTTTTGCCTTTCATGTCTGGGACTATACATATGGGTTAGTGTTGGTTAGTAACACTAGTTACAAGACAGCATCTTTCATCTGGGAAGTAAAGGTTGGGGGCAGCTTGGGTTGTAGTGATCATGAGATGGTGGAGTTCAAGATCCTGAGTGGAAGAAGCAAAGCAAAAAGTAGGATTGCTGTCCTGGACTTTAGGAGAGCCAAGTTCGATCTCTTCCGGGACCTATTTGGAGCTATCCATGGGCTTGGGTGTTAGAAGGTGAGGGGGCCTCCGAGAGCTGGTCAGCATTTAAGCAGCTCTTCTTCCAAGCTCAGGATCGGTGCATCCCTGTGAGCAAGAAATTGGGAAAAGGTGACAGGAGACCTGTGTGGATGAGCAAGGAGCTCGTGTGCAAGCTCGAAGGAAAGAAGAAGGTCCATGAAATGTGGAAAAAGGATCTGACCACTTGGGAAGAATATAGGAATGTAGTCAGGGTCTGCAGGATGCAACAAGGCTAAAGCCCGCCTGGAATTGAATCTGGCTAAAGTGATAAAGGATAATAAAAAAGGCTTTTTTAAGTATGTCAACAGCAAAAGGAAAACTGGAGAGAATGTGGGCCCTTTACTAAGTGAGGGGGGTGTTCTGGTAACGGGGGATGCTGAGAAGGCAGAGATACTGAATGCCTTCTTTACTTCTGTCTTCAGTGAAAAGGCTCTCCCTCAGGTTTCCCACACCCTGGAGGTTAGTGAGAGGATCTGGGGAATGGGAGACTTTCCTTTAGTCAGGGAAGAGGTGGTCCGTGAGCGCCTAGGCAGCACTAAGGTCCACAAATCCATGGGACCTGATGCGGTGCATCCACGTGTGCTGAGGGAGCTGGCAGAGGTCATTGCTGAACCTCTCTTCATCATCTTTGAGAGGTTTTGGATAATGGGGGAGGTCCCCAAAGACTGGAGGATAGCCAATGTCACTCTGGTCTTCAAAAGGGGCAAGAAGGAAGACCTGGGTAATTATAGGCCTGTCAGCCTCACCTCTGTCCCTGGAAAGGTGATGGAACAGCTTGTGCTGGATGCCATCTCCAGACAGTTGGGAGAAAAGGAGGTTATCAGGAGTAGTCAGCATGGGTTCACCAAGGGGAGGTCATGCTCAACCAACCTGGTGGCCTTCTATGATGTTGTCACATGCTGGGTGGATGGGGGAAGAGCGGTAGATGTAGTCTACCTTGATTTCAGCAAGGCATTTGATACTGTCCCCCACGACATCCTTATAACAAAGCTGAGGAAGTGTGGGATAGATGAGTGGACAGTGAGGTGGGTTGAAAACTGGCTGACTGGCAGAGTACAGAGGGTCTTCTTGGTGGTACAGAGTCTGGCTGGAGACCTGTAACCAGTG